AAAATTTGGTTAGATTACTAGGTTACTGTGCTGAAGAGCTCACAGGTACTTCGTTTTCCCTGGTGCTCTGCTTTTTAAAAAAAAAAAAAAAATACAAGTTTTTGATTATTGATTACAGTTTGTTTGATAATCTGATTTGTGTTTTTCTTTTCAAGACGGCTATATAGATAAATATGGTTTAAGTCATTTACTCATAGCTACTGATCTTCATATAATGCAGGATGCTGGTATATGAGTATGTTAATAGTGGGAACTAGAACAGTGGCTTCATGGAGATGTAGGGCCACGGAGTCCGCTTACCTGGGAAATTCGGATCAATATTATACTTGGAACAGCAAAAGGGTAAACTCTAAATCCAGCTGCATTGGCCTCCAAGCTGCCTATTCTGTTAGCCATCTTTTCAATCTTAATTTCTTGTTAATTGATGACTTAGGTTGAGTTACCTTCACGAGGGACTCGAGCCCAAAGTTGTTCACCGGGACATAAAATCAAGCAACATTTTACTTGATAGGCAATGGAATCCTAAGGTTTCAGACTTTGGCCTTGCCAAGTTGCTTGGTTCTGAGAGAAGCTACATCACAACTCGTGTGATGGGAACATTTGGGTAAGCAAGATGCCTCTAGTCTCAAATTTGTTTTCTCTCCACTTGTGCATTCACCAGAAATAATTTGTTTCTACTTTTGCAGATATGTTGCTCCTGAATATGCAAGTACTGGGATGTTGAATGAGAGAAGTGACGTGTATAGTTTTGGAATTCTCATAATGGAAATAATTACTGGGAGAAATCCAGTTGATTATAGCCGACCTCCTGAGGAGGTGATTCACCATGTAGTTGATGTTGACTTTTTCAAATCAGTTTTAACTTGTTCTCAGTGTTGTATTTTTTCTCAGTAAATCTCCCATGTTGCTTTTAATTAACAATAAATCCCCTCCAGGTGAACTTGGTGGACTGGCTTAAGAGAATGGTATCTAACAGGAATCCTGAGGGAGTGTTGGATCCCAAGCTGCCTGAGAAACCAACATCTAGAGCCCTTAAGCGCACTCTTCTTGTAGCTCTGCGTTGCGTGGACCCAAATGCACAGAAGCGACCAAAGATGGGCCACGTTGTCCATATGCTTGAAGCTGAAGAATCACCTTTCAAAGATGTACGTATACAATTCAAGTATTCTTAGCACTTTTAGTAAGAATATAATTGATTACCAATCCAGTAGCCTGACAACATCAAAATGACTAATTAGATTATATACGAATGGACGTTAAGGATGGGATATCTTTTTCTTGCAAACTACTTTCCCACCTTCCCCTCTCCCTTCGATGGTTAAAGACAACAAACTACCAAAATTCAAACCCGCAGATGATGATGCACTGTGCAATTTGTTTCAGGATCGAAGAGCTGGAAAAGCTCCAGCTGATGCAAATCATGGTAGCACCAAAGAGGAGTTGAGCAAGCAGCAGATGGAGATGACAGAAGCAGGCGAGAGTAATCAACATGAAAGTGGGCTGCATGTTAATGAGGCAAGATAGGGACATCTTCATGGATGGAAACAAGAAAAAGGGTTCACAAAAGCTTGTTTGAGATGGAATTTATACTTCAGATCTCCTGCAACTCTGCCAGGAAGCTTGCGTATACAAATTCCAATTGATGGTTCAAGTTTGGTGACTATCATCTATTCTTGTATATAGTATGTGGTTTCCATGGTTGCTTCACTTTATCTCTGGAAGATTCAATTCAAATCTCTTAGGCACTGTCTTTTGTCATTTCGTTGTGAACGAAATTGTTCCAAATTCATTTTGTTTTAAAAAGGCAGGTATATCTTTAGCTTTCCTTGTGTAGAACTTTGTTCAACTTTGGTATCATATAACAGATCTATTTCATGAAAGGAAAACTTGAAAATCGAAACTGTTTCTTTGTTAACGAGGCAACTTTGTTCAACTTTGATGGCAGGTAGATAGGTTTGTGATCATTTGTGTCGTTTTCTAGGGTCCCTCGGGTAACATGGCTTGCTGGTCCATTTGGGGAGTCCCATGTGCGCCCACTGGAGGTTTTTGCTGTTTGATCAATTTGAGCAGCAGACTAGATTTTGTCTCAGGTCGTTGTCCTATTATGAAAGCGAGAAACTCCACATTTTGCACTCCTTTTGAACTCCTTCAGGACTTCTGCTACATAAAATATACAATGTCTTTTTACAGGAATTGATCTTGCCAAAGCTTCAATTCGATGCACGGCTTCTTTTGACAACCAATATATCCAATTTCACTAATTTACCTATGCCTTATATATCAGCAAATTTCTTCTTGAGGTCAGAACTTGAACATAGATCTAGTATAATCTTTTTTTGTAATTATAGTTGTTCAACTAAACATTAAACTATGTAGTTACAAACAAAGTTATTCATTAAATATGTAAGTTACTATAAACTTTCATACTAGTCAATGTTTGATTACCTTTTCTAACACTTCTCTCAAGGCCCAGTGCCTACCTGAAATCCTGTAGGATTATACTCCCCACAACCTCAAACAAAATTCAGTCTTTAGTTGATCAAACGCATTTTAACTGCAGAGTCTCTCTCCATACAGGCTAACAAGTCTAGCTCAGATGAACTGACAAACAAATTTTCGGCTTTGAGCTTATTGGTTAGTTTGTGAGAAAATTCTCCGGTATCTTGGTTTTACAGGCCTTGCTTCTGAATCATTTAGGAAGTAATTTGTCAATATTTTATATAATCTAATTTGCTATTTAAATCTCTTTATCCTAAATTAGTTTTGTTTATACCATCTCCGTCTGTAATATATCGGTTTACATATAATTTGCGTGTAAGAAAAAAAAAGTATTGAGGGATACCATTCTCCATATGTACTATAATTTTATTTAGCTATCTCAGAAATGTGTGTTTGCCATGGTGACTGAAGCTTCATCTTATTCATCGCACGTGCTTTTCCACAACAGTGATACTGAGGGTTCTTGGCCTCCGTACTTCCGGTCCCCATGTTTGTCTTTCTTCTTTTTCTTTTGCAGCTGGATTTATTGACATGGAAATCTCATCACTCTCGGTCCACTTGTTAATTATTAATTGCATGTGAAGTGTTCCATAGCTAATAATAATTATACTCACTTTCCTATTTTGCCGTGTACTGTCACCAATTGCTTTGTCTCTAGGCTCTTGACATTCCCTGGATTTCTTTCTGATTTAGGAAATTTGACAGAATATAATTTATTTTGAAATAAAATTTATATAGAATTTAACAAGCACATTTTAGGTTCTTGTACAGGAACTGCTCCCTTGGTTCCAATTCTCCATATATTTCTAGCTATCAATCCAAATTCATACAGAGATAGAGTTTAAAATGGCTCTTCAAACGAACAAAACTGCACTCCATAGTTTATATGAAACAAGAAGGCTGTGAGCAGCTGAATCCCATATGAACCAAGATTATCGAGATTTTACAAGAACTAGAGAAGAAAAAAAAAATTTTCTGTGACCCAAACGAGGTAAAAACAAGAAAATTAGTAAAAAATATGACCGATAATAAAAAAAGACGTGGTTTATAGGAACTATAACTATAAGAGAAAAGATTTGGCAATAATTGTCCCCAGCAAAGACCATTTTAGGACTGGTCTGCTACTGAGAAGACCTGTATTTGCCGGAGTTTCTGGCGGACTTTGTGTAACGGCCTCAGCAGCAGGTGGAGGGGGTGAAATTGGGGGAACGTCACAGGATCCGAATGTAGCATTGGCCTGCTCGTACACATCAAATCAAATTACATTAGGATTTAGATTCAAAAGTCTTGTTCCACCATTTTTATCGATTTTGGATTCAGCAATAGCTAAATCTCCAGATGGACTAACATGCAACTTATATTAGCAGGTACTAGGTTGCTTTTGGCGAACAACTAACCTTGCAATAGGCTATACTATCGCATCCACATGTAAGATGACCATTTGCTTCATCTGTGGCTTCTGGGGCTCCTCCACCATCGCTTTTCTGCAGAGAATCAATGAAAAAAGTTCACTGGAAAATTAGAATTTCACTTACGCTAGATGCAGAAACATATAAAATGCAACAATGCAATACCTGGTAAAAATCAACAGCGATGAAGTTTGGCCATCTTTCGCCAGCTGCTTTATGGCAAGTCTTTATCATGCTAATTAGCGGAGCCGAATTGTCAGAACAAGCTACTGTTATATTAGGATCAGTAGGAAAGTAATTCTGGAGAACCAGGGACCTAGATTTTGTATTCATAGGAGATGATTCATCACGATTTGAACAAGAACCAGCTGTCATTCCTTCATTACCATCTGCAAGCAATATCATATCACCATCAAAACTATCCAATTTCATATCTATCCTAGTGTATCTAGTAATTTAGTGAAAAGATATGTATTAAACAATAACTAAAGTAAAAGAGACCTTAAAAAAGACACCCATTAATAAACAAAAGGAATCCTTGAAAATAAACAGGATCAAGAAATGATTGAGCCAAAGCCTATCATATTTATCCTGAACAAATATATGAAATGAGCCATGCCTTATGTTCTATACTGCTTTAATTCTATTTGTTAATGCTAAATCCTCTAATGATGTGTGAGTAGAGTTTTCCTGTCTGGAAACTCACATTGACTTTCTACCACATAGTTCCACTGATAAGCAATCCCTTCAGAAGCCTCTTTAGCTGATTTAGAAGTGAACACTACCAAGCGTTGATTTTGTTTGACCATATCATCCACTGTTGGCCAATCTCCACCGTTTTTAGGCATCGCTGACACTGGAAACCAGAATTTTCTGAGACCAGCTGCATCGAAAACTTTGGTCAAACCCTGTGGGGATGCCACGTAATCCTCGATAAAGATGGTAACAATCTCTGATGGGTTTGCTTCCAGAAACACAGAGATCTCCTTGAGCACATTAATTGCAGGTTGCTGCATGCAAACGTTGGTGCATATGATTGAATTTAAAGTTTAGGAGGAAATTTATTGGCTCAGTTAATAGAGTTCATCAACTGAAATTACACCACTTACAAATGCTGTCAAATTATAGCACTTGCCACCAGTGGAATGACACAACCAGATGTCATTTTCAAAATCATACATGTCCAGCATAAGTCCTCGAACGCCATTCTACACAAACATATATATCCCTCAGAGAAACAACAATAAATTATATCAGCTAGACTGTAACTTCAACATTAGACTGTAAAAGGAAGAAAAAACAAAAAGAAACAGTACAAAGAAAGAAGAATTTTCACTTGAATTTTAGCTTTTCATTCAGATAAAGAGGAATGTAGGAAGGTTGTTGGCGAAGCTTTCAAAATTTTCTCTAACAAATAACGAAATAAAGTTTCAAAACGTGTATCTAAAGAATGAGACTTGCTCCTACATAATGGTCTGTAATGAATTTTCTAATTAAGAGTTTATGAAATATAAAAATTTTACATACAAGGCTCTCCCATATAAGGTACTGAGAATGGATTTAGTCTCGAAAAAGCTTGATATTTCTGACTACTTCTAAAAATTGATTAGCCTGTTTTTTTTCTCTAATTCATTATTGCTAATAATAATCAAAGTGGGGTTTAGTTAGTTGGGATGCTTACTTTATAATTTAATAAAAGCACCAACAACTAAAGATTATTGAAATACTTTTTAGATTTTCAATTACAAGACAAGTAATTAGCGTGTCCGATATAGCTTGCATCAATTTTCAGGCGCTCGCTCACCTATTTACTCGCGCACGCTTTCCGCCTATAAGCAATAAAGAAAAGAGAAAATCGATTGCTTCAAAAGGAAAATAGAAAAGCATAATCTTAATCTTCTTCCGTATTAATTAATTAATTTCTTTTTCCAGTCAAAGGATCAACCTGTCTCCTTGCTCATACAAGTCTGCTTGTAATTAATAATAATCGCATTGTTGCAATACGGATGCAAAACGTTTTCTTCATTGTTCTTTGAATCTTAACTCTCCAGAAACTTGGAACAGAAAATATAACAAACAAAAATGAAATCTTACCTTGAGTTGACTCGTAACAGAGTCCTCCTGGTTAGTCGGGGAGATAAGCACGGGTCCAACAGCAGGTTTTGACCCTCTGATAGCATACGAGTTGTGGGTAGTTAGCCATGAATACTTGTTGAATGGCAAACCATTGACCTAATCAACACCAAAGTCGCATGCTGGACATCAATACCGGCAGAACAATGAAACATAAAAAAACAAAAAGATGATATCACAGGTTCAGGGGTGGACACATCAAACGGAACAATGTATGTAAATTGAAGAAGTTTACTTTTGACGTCGGGTTCAGCGGCTGGATCCGGGTGCATCTGGGTCGGGTATTTCCACTTATCGGGCAAGTTTGGCAAGTTAAACCGGCGTCGCATGCACTACTTGTAGAAGAACACGTTTCTCCGATCTGTTTTCAACCGCCAAATAAGAATCAGTCCACGATTACGAGAAGCAACAAGAGGGTAAAAAAAAAATAATGGAGGGATGAAAACCTTGAGACTGGAAGCGGAGGAGAAAAAACAAAGCGTGGTGAGCAGGACAGAGAGAGGACGATTAACTGAAAGATTGAATCTCTGCAATGGAAAAAGAAAAAATTGACGGGAGTAAGAAAGTTAGGCTTTTTCATCAAAGGTGAGGACGAAAAGAAAAAGCAGGGGAGGTGATGAAGTAACCTTCATTTTGGAGAATTTTTCTCTTCCTTTTCTTGCTTTAGAGAAAGAAGAGATTTACGAAGGCAAACCTGTTCGAGTTTGGAACGGGGAGGGAGATGCCGAATCGTTTGTCAGGTAGCGGGAAGTTTTATTAGAGGAGTTGGTTAGAAAATCAGTTTTTTTTTTTATTTTTCTTTTTGAAGTATCTTATTCTACCTAATACAATAGAGAATTAGTAAACGATGCTTGCCGAACCCAGCCCATTAGCCCAGCTGCATCGTGTAATGGGCTGGGTTTGAGCCCAATGAATTATGCTCGGGGTCCAGCACACGAACCATTTTTTTTTTTAAAAAAGAAAATTTTAAGTTCAGATTCTCTTTTTACTCATCCAATCCGTTAACTTAATTAATCGTGTTTGTTTCAACTAACTTCCGATGGTAACAAATGGTATTTGATTTTTAAATTTTGGAATGAATTTTTAAACTACTAAATTATTAGTATTTGACCGGCATTCTAATTTATTTTTTATTGAATTTAATTAATTTTATATATATCTTGATAATTAAAAATTCATTAAATTAATATAATAATATAAATAATGATTATTTATTTTATTAAATATAAAATTTTAATTTAATTATTTAAATATAAATATAATTATATTGATAAATAATTTTTTTTTAAATATTTATTTTATATTATTTACTATTACATATAATACATATGGATAAATTAATAATTTTAGTTAAAAATACAATCATACTATTTTATTATCTAAATAAAAATACGTCATTAACACGCATTAATATATTATCATCTAAATATAAAAAAAAATATATTATTATTATTATTATATATTGATTATCTATCACTTAAATTTATCCAAACAAAACATAGAACTGAAAGATCAAAATATTCTTGATTGATTTATGTTGAAATTTCTTTTAATTATTTTTTGTTCAAAATTTTTCATGAATTTGTAAACAAAAACGAATTCTCCATTTGTTAAATTTTTCTTTATAAACCGTCGTCTGTTAAGTTAACTATGAAGCATAGTTTTAGATGTTAATTTAACTTGCGGATATCAGCTCTCTTGAGGGTCACCAGCTAAATTCATCCGACTCCCTCATCTCTACTTAATTTTAGTCTCCATTTGAGCTATTGTATGAGAAAGATGGAAGACTCAAGGTGTTTGGATGCTTGCCTTTTGCAAGCTCTTTTGTTTTGGAAAAGGAGTAAATTTGATTCGAGAACTACATCATGCATTTTTCTTGAATATCATTTCTTTACTGTCTCGGCAAACTCTCTAAATCTTTAGTTTACGCATTAGAAGAAGATGAAGCCCAATTATTCCGCGATTCAGGCCGAAAGTCGGCGGGTCTTTGGATCATAGCTGACATAATACCAGCCATGGCTACCGTCGATCGTCTACCCATGCATTGAAGATGCTCAAGTAGGGCCCTATAAGCGACGACATGAAAGCAAAAGCTGCACGGTCGGTGGGGAGCAACCATTGACGGAAGCGAGAGCCGATAGCAAAAACATAGTGGAAAACGAGGTACCCACCATTTTTATTTATCTCTTTATCTACAGACTGTATGTATTAAACACGCGCACGTATGTATCGTTAAATGAGTCTAACGCATGATAGGTGTTTGTGGTTTTGTCAAGCTAAAAGGACTGGAGAGCGAGCGCTTAGAAGAGTAGTGCGAACGGGTTAAACCTTTTCTTGTTTTGTTTTTTTTTTTTGCTGATACGGACTGCATATAGGCATGCCCACTTTGGTTTTGTTGTGCTACATAGCATGTGAAATGGTCTTAGCTAGAGATAAGGGAGAGACTGAATTATCACCACACATAGTACTGATGATTAAGATATACACACATACATAGTACTGATAATTAAGACATACACACACGAACGCGCATTGTTCCACTAAAAAAAGATATATATGCGTACATTTATAATGAAGAAAAAGATATAATCTTCCTGTGCCCAAAAAGAAAAAACGATTATCTGGCTTCCACTACCTACAGACCCAACTTTTAGCAATGGGACAAAAACAAGTTGTACGAGAGAACTTTGCCAAGAAATTTATTACATAAAGAGATCCCTACAAACAAAAGACGAATCATGTAAAGCTCCTTTCAAAGCATCCCACGTTTTTGCTTTCTCACTGGTCCAAAGATGGACAGATGACGTACCAAAACAATGCTGGTAGTTTTTTTCCACGGAAACCTGAGAAGAGAGATATAATTTCCATTGATAACCAAGATTTTACAGAAAGGTGTTGTTCATTAGCCATGGCTAAACTTACTTCCACTTTTGTGCTCGCACTACTTACTATCTCCCAGATCATTTCCTATGCTCAAGCAAAATCAGATATATATGTCATCCACATGGACTTATCAGCCATGCCCAGACCCTTCTCCAGTGACCAAGGCTGGTACTTAGCAACCCTTTCGTCAATATCAGACACTTCAAAAGCAACCTCCACCCCAACTTCTAAACTTCTCTATTCTTACACCAACTCAATTCGTGGCTTTAGTGCAAGTCTTAGTCTTCCTGAGCTTGAAGCTCTGAAAAAGGTCCCTAGCTATATTTCCTCCACTAGAGATCATCCTCTTAAAGCCCACACGACGAGGACCTCTCAGTTCCTAGGTTTGAGTTCATCGGTTGGTGCATGGCCAGCATCAAATTATGGGGAAGGTGTGATTATTGGTTTGCTTGACACTGGTATTTGGCCTGAGAGTGAGAGCTTTAGCGATGAAGGAATGAGTGATGTCCCATCCAGATGGAAAGGAAAATGTGAGTCAGGCACTCAGTTCAATTCTTCCTTGTGCAACAAGAAACTGGTTGGTGCCCGCTTTTACAACAAGGGTTTTATTGCTAACAATCCCGAGGTAAAGATTAAGATGAATTCGCCACGAGATACAGATGGACATGGCACACATACTTCATCTACAGCTGCTGGCAGCTATGTGAAAGGAGCGTCTTATTTTGGGTATGGAACAGGCACTGCTAGAGGGATGGCACCAAGGGCTCACATAGCAATGTATAAAGTAATTTGGAGATATGGGGTTTATTCATCTGATGTTCTTGCTGCAATAGACCAGGCAATTCAAGATGGAGTGGATATTCTTTCGTTATCATTGGCACTAGCAGTTGATGATAATTTCTTGGAAGATGATCCATTGCAGTAGCCACTTATGCAGCCATGGAAAAGGGTGTATTTGTATTGCCTCAGCGGGAAATGATGGACCTCTGTATGGAGTTGATTAATGGAGCTCCATGGGTGTT